TTCTCTGTATTATGATGTTCTCCTGCAATGGTGAATTCCCAGCATGAAGCCATAGGTGACAGCACCCTTGCCTAAGCAAGTCCTCTACAAAGAGTCTTAGTGCTGGGACAGAGACCTGGTACCAGGGCTCAGGCAGTTTTAAGGAGGCCAGTTCACTTCAGCTGGACAACATAACTGCTTCTCTTCAGGCTGCTGGCTGCAGAGCTCTGCACAGTTGGCTCTACATAGCTTGCTGGGCACGTGGAGGCTGTGGCTGCTCTGCCTGCTCAATACCCCAGCTGGCCCTGTACTTTATTTTGTAACTACCAATTTGTACTTCTTAATCCCTTCACCTTTTCACCCAGTCCCCCAACCAGCCTCTCCTCTGGCAACCATCAATCTGATCTCTTTATCTGAATCTGTTTCCGTTTTGTTTGTTCATTTATATTGTTCCTTAGATTCCACATACAAGAGAAAATATACAGTGTTTGTCTTTTTCTGACTGATTTATTTCACTTAACAGCTGTATGTTTATTTGTTTGTTTATTTTTAGAGAGGGGAGAAGGGAGGGAGAAAGAGAGGGAGAGAAACATCAATGTGAGAGAGAAACATCAATTGGTTGCCTCTTGTACATGTCTTGACCAGGGACGGAATCTGCAGCCTAGGCATGTGCCTGACTGGGAATCAAATTGGTGACTTTTTGCTTTGCAGGACGATGTCCAACCAAGTGAGCCACACTGGTCAGGGCAATTAGCTGTATGTTTTGACAGAAAAAAAATTTTAATTGTAGAAAAATGTGTAAAGAACATACACAAAACAATTTTTCAAAACTGTCTTTAGCAATTATATTTCTGTAGTTTTGGTTTTTTATTAAGATAATGTTTTCTATGTATTGTGTAGCAAAAATAAGGAATAGTTTAAATTACTATAATGCTGATAATCTCCTATGTCTTAAGAGCCAGGAGTTCCTATGTGGAAGAAATAAATTAGAAGATGAAGTAAACACCTTGTTTTCTTGATTTTTAATTGAAAGTAATCAGTGTGAATTCATATTTTAATTTTATCTTAAAATGGTATATATATTATGTGTATATATTTTGGTACAAATATATATGTGCATATAATGCTAATTTGAGAATTTTATTTATATTATGGAATAGAATGAATGAATATTTATATGATATTTTAATTCTAACATTTCCTAGCTGTGTCTACTGAAAAGTCCCAGAAATGTGGAAACCTAATTCCCAGAATGTGGTCTTGACATGCTGTTGACTTCTAAAAGAAACCATGGCTTTTTTGGTAAATCATTCACTCCAGGTCTGGGGCATGAAATATATAAAATGATTCTGGAATATTTGTATATCATATACTAAGAAAGCTATCAACAGCTACTAACTAGATAGAGGTCATGACAAAAGGATTCAGCAGTTAACTTGCATTGGTTCTAGGGTGACCAACTCCCCAGTTTTAGAACTGAAAGTTTTATGTCCCCAGAGACCTCTTAGTCTTCTGCAAATGTGTACATTTGATCACCTTCAGAGGCTCCCATTGGCCAAAAGTGGGACAGTGTAAGCATCTATAAGGATAAGAACTACAGTGGATTGACACCCTTTTTATGCTTACATCTATGAGTTTGTGATGATAGCCAAAACAAAATCAAGTAATTATTTATCTTTGGTGGATACTAGGAAAGCAGTTTTTAATTTTCAAACTGATAAACCATGGGAAGAGTCGAGTATTCTTACTTTTTTGTATGAACATATCATTGGCTAAACATAGTAGATGAGGTAAAGTTTCTTTTTATAGGGAAATTTTATATACTGGCAAATAAAGACAAAATGATAGAATTGGAATATCATTTTAATGGATTTTGACATTTAGTTTTAGTGGCTACTAAAAGCACTGAAAGAGAAAATCATATGTGTTCTAGTTACTCTTCCATCTAATGAGTAATCTTGCCAAAGATATTAAACCTGAATCTGGTGTAGGAAATACAGACGACAGCGGAACATGTTGAACTACACTGTGGGGGTGCAACCAAGAAAACTTAGTCTGTGGGAAGCTATACAGGACAGATGATCCAATATATACAACAGATTGAAAAGAAAAAAGAGATGATGATGGAATCTATATAGATTTTAAAAGGGCAAAATTAGCCCTGGCTGGTTGGGCTCAGTGGATTGAGTGCCAGCTTGTGAACTGAAAGGTTGCTGGTTTGATTCCCTTTCAGGGCACATGCCTGGTTTGAGGGCCAGGTCCCCAGGTCCCCGTGTGAGGGGTGACCAACTGATTGATGTTTCTCTCCCTTTCTTTCTTCCTCCATTACCCTCTCTCTAAAAAGAAATAAATGAAATCTTTAAAAAGGGGGTTGGGCAAAATTAACCTATAGTGTTTATGTAGAGACATTTCAGTAATAAAACCATAAATAAGGTAAGGAAGTGGTTACCACAAAAGCCAGAATAGTTGTTTCTTTTGTTGGGATGAAGCATGCAGGGTGATGGATGGAGGGTTTTGACATTGGCAGAGAGTTCATGGAGGGCTTCTGTAATGGCTGACATGGCTCTTTCTCCTGCTCTGTGTGGTGGTTACAAGTTCAGTCAGCTGTTACTTCTGTATGTGATTTTCTTTGTCGTATCTTATCTGTATTTTTAAAGACTTTAGTTTTTTAGAGCAGTTTTAGATTCACAGCAAAATTGAGAGGAAAATACAAAGAATTCCTGTGTATCCTCTCATGCATAGCTTCCCCTTTAATCAACGTACCCTGCTACAATAGTGCATATGCTGCAACTGATGAATCACTTACAGCCCATAGTTTACATTAGGGTTTACTCTTGGAATACATTCTGTGGGTTTGGACAAATGTATAATGACATGTGTTCATCATTATAGTGTCATACAGAGTATTTTCAATGCCCTAGAATCTTTGGTTTTTAGCTTACTCATCCCCCACCCCCTGGCAACCACTGATTTTTTTTACTGTCTCCATAGTTTTGGCGTTTCCAGAATGTCGTATAGTTGGAATCATATAGTAGGTTGCCTTTTCAGATTGGCTTCTTCCACTTAGTAATATGCATTTAAGGTTCCCCTGTCTTTTCATAGTTTGATAGTTTCATTCCTTTTTAGTGCTGAATAATATGTTTGTATTATTTTTGATAATAAAAGTCTGAAATTAAGAAAAGGAAATTGACTGGAGTGGAGGCAACTATATTAGAAAATGGTGAGAGGTAATGCCTTAATAGACTATCTTAAGACTTGTTGACTGAGGATTTTATTAAATGCTATTCTGAGAATATTCAACATAGTAAGTCAATGAGGTTTATTAAAAAAAGGGGCTGGAGTGCTGAAAACTGTTTGTTAGAGGATAAATCTGGCAGGATGGATTTCAGTAAGAGACTGGGAAGCTAGCCAGGAGACCACAGTATTAAGGGGAAGGTGATGAAGATTTGGATTAGGGTGATGGTTGTAGGAATAGAGTTAAAATAGCTGTTGTGTTATGCAACAAAAGGATAGTCAATTAGGCTTGGTGAGAGATTAACTATGGTTATAAGTAAAAGCAGCAGAAATAAGCTCAAAATTTCATGTTTGTGGTTATATCCTTTATTGGGTAGGTACTGGGGTATTCTGACAGGACAATTCTAGGTGATTAGACTAAAATAGGATGTGTATTTCTCTTCATGATGTATTTAAAATCCCAGAGGAACGATTGCTAGGGACTCTACATTCCAAATGGTCTCTCTTTCTGAAAATGCAATCTGACAGGCACAAAGCTGACAGTAGTGGTTGTGTTGGGAGTTTATGGTTGGGACATAGAGATATGAGGGTGACTTTATCGTTTTTAGCTTTTGAATTTTGAATCATGTGCTCATATTACCTATTCAGAAAATAAATAAAATGTAATTAAAAGATAAAGATGCCCAAGTCTTCCACTTTCCAGGGGGAGATTTGTATTTGGCATTCTTTTATTGTTTTAAATACTTCAGACTATAATTACACAGGAAAGCAATCAGGTAAACACATGTTTAATGCCTGGTTGCCTTTGCTTTTTTTGTTGCTACTAGTTAGGATTTTCCTCCTTAGACAGGAGATGTTCTTGCTGTTCAATAAGCTTCGGGGCCATGCAAAGATGGTGGTGGTGCTGCAGCAGCACAGATGGTCTCTCTCTTGTTCATTATCACTGCTGAAACTGAAGGACATTAGATGTATGTTAACTCCATCAGTTTCCCTTCTCACTCTCCCCCAGGCAGTTGTCCTGGATCCGGCTTCTGTAATGAAGCACCCCAAAATCTGTTTTATTTTATGCCTTAGTCTTTTGGACACATATAGAACCAGTATTAGATTTGATAAGGAAGGATAGTAGGAGGTGACACATATGGTGACAAAAGTTAAAACATTTTTATTTTTTTAAAGTTTTTTTAAAATAACTTTTTCTGGGATAATTATTAGTGATTAAAAAGTTAGGAAAATTCAACTTATTCTTTAAGGCATGCTTATTCTTTAAGGTCTAGTAAAATTGGGAGAAAACTTCAAGTCTGTTCCTCTGGTCCTTAGAAAAGAGAAGCCAGGTCTGGAAACAATCGGAGGCCGTAGTAGGAAGCTAGGCAGTCCTTGCACAGTGGATGTCAGGGTGGGCTGCACAAAGGCACCGCTTGAGGATATTAAAACAAAATGATGATGCTTAGTTCCCACTGCTAGAAGTTCTGATTTAATTGATTGGGACTATGGCCTTGGCATTAGAACTTTTTGAACCTACCCACTTGAATTTAATAGGAAGTCAAGATTGAGAACCACTGGCCTAGAGAGGAAAACTGGTGGAGGATTGAAGAGGAGTCCCTGGGTTTCATAGTATCTTAATCCCAAATTCTCTCCATGTGGGATGAATTGGAGTTTATTTTATTATAATGATGCTTTTTAAGACTTGTGCTTATTTAGGTTTCTGATTGGTGGAAATCAAAAAAGACGATCTATAACATCTAGAAAGAATGGAGTGATTTGCATTTAACATTGTGTTATTTGTACAGGTTGCCTGTGATTTGCTTCGGAGAATAATTCGCATCTTACATCTCAGTAAGAGACTCCAAGGACAGCTGCAAGGGGGAAGTAGAGAGATAACAAAAGCCGCCCAAAGTCTCAACGAACTTGGTAAGTTCTTTTTGATTACAAAGTTAGCAGAGTTTTAAAGGCTTTTTTCAGTCACTTGATTTGTTGACTTTTGTTATGTTATCACCATTAACAGATATTATTGATGAAATTTATTTAATAATTGGCTATTTTCAACACTGTTACATTTTTCAGAATGGGTGAGTAAACAATTGATTTCTTAGAAATGCTGTTTATTTTTAAAGCTATCATATGCAATAGGGCTTTTAAAAATATAGACCTGTGAATTTTAACATATGCATAGATTTATGTAACCTCTAGCACAGTCATATACAGAATAGCTCCATCACCCCCAAATTCCATCATGATCTCTCTTTATAGTGATGCCTACCTGCCCCTCACCCGCTATGCCTAACTCTGGTGACCATCTGTGGGTTCTGCATCACAGTAGTTTTGTCTTTTGGAGAATGTCACGTAAATAGAGTCATCAAGTATATAACTTTTTGAGGCTTACTTCTTGTACTCAGCTTAATACCTTTGAGAATTATCCAAGTTGTTGTGTATACACTGTAATTTGTTACTTTGTGTTTGTTGAGATACTGCTGTGTGGTTGTACCACTTTTGTTTATTGATTCACTGGTTGAAGGAAATTTGTATTGTTTTTAGTTTTTGGTGATTATGAATACAACTACTATAAACATTCATGTACAGGTTTTTATGTGAACTTAAACGTTTTCATTTCTCTAGGAGAAATATCTGGGAGAAATGCTGTTATGTAGGTGACAAATCCCTTGTTGACATTATGCCTAGAAGACTTAGTTAATTCATTTCTTCATTTGTTCCTTACTTTCTCAAATATTCAGAGTAGACTCTTGATACTCAAGGGTTTAATATTTTGGTTTTAACTATTAACAAGTTGCAAGGTCCATGATGAAGCAGTTCCTAATTTTTCAGGCAAAATTTTGAATAGTTATCAAATGCACATAGAATTATCTAACACCTGCATTTTATTGAGGATTTGTGGTTTTCTTTTCAATAGGTACCCAGTAATTTTTCTGAAGTAGATCTGTTTAGTGGTGTTTGTAACTTTGTAGGTTCAGAAGGTCTTTGATTATATCCATCTCAAATATCAAGATTCTACTTAGTCTTGGTGATATTATTTAGCCAAAATATTATCAGAAAGATGTATATTAAATGATTTTTTAAATTTTTCTGTCTTTGATATTTCAGTTACATGGTCATGCTGTAATGTTTATTCCATATTTTTTCCTAAGAAAATGTAATATCTTTCACAAATCATGCTTTAACACTTTTCAATTTATAATACTTAAATGTATTGCTTAGACACATTATTGGGAATATATCTTACTTGTTATTTGAAATGCTTGGAATATATTGTATAAAAAGTTAAGTTTTAGTCCTGGCTAAAACCTGGCTGGTATAGTAGCTCAGTGGACTGAGTGCTGGGCTGCAAACCAAAGGGTTGCTGGTTTGATTCCCTGTCAAGAGCACGTGCCTGGGTTGTGGGCCAGGCCCCCAGTAGGTGGTGCACGAAAGGCAACCACACACTGATGCTTCTCTCCCTTTCTTTCTCCCTCTTTTCCCCCCTCTCTAAAAATAAATAATTTTTTTAAAAAGTTAAGTTTTTAGCAGTGAGTAATAATTGCTTCTTTTTCAGACTGTGTGCTAAATGCAAGAGTTTAAAATCCCTAGTATCAGCACATTTTTTACTTTATCAAACTTCATTGCTGTGCTTCAAAAATAATCTGTAGGATAATAGAATAAGTAAAAACATACAAATTATTCCAAGGTTTATTATATATATTCATCATCACTAATATTCCTTCATAATAAAAAATTGCTAGGTTTTGTGATTATTAACTCTTCTAGAAACAATGGATGCTGTAATGCAAATGGTGACTTTTTTCTTTATTTTTATTGTTGACCATGTTACAGATTCCCTATTTTCCCACTGTTGCCCACCTTTACCTGGTCTCCCTGCTGCTCCCCCCTGCCCTGGCCATCACCACACTGTTGTCTGTGCCCGTAGTCATGCATACATGTTCTTTGGCTAATCCCTTCACTTTCTTTCATCCAGTCTCCCCCTCCCCCTCCCCTCTGACAGCTGCTAGTCACTTCCATGTATCCATGCCTCTGTTTCTATTTTGTTTGTCAGTTTATTTTGTTCATTATTAGATTACACACATAAGTGAGACCATATAGTCAGTCATAATTCTTTGAGTTGGTGCAGTGCAGAGTGTAAACACACTATCCCTCCAATGAGGTATTGGCTTTACCCAAAGTTTTATAAATATGATGAGAGGTTGTTGAGAAAGTATTCTTCATGGTGAGTTTATTTCAAAATGGATTGTATTAATTTAAATTTTTAAAGCTTTACAGATTATGTGCTATTCAAAATTTGTGAAGGCATCTTCTCTTTATTCACTGCTGTGGTTCAGTATTGGCTAGATCTAGCATTGATAATAAGGGACGCCAAAAGGGAAATGAAGTTTCTGTATTTGAAATTAATATTTTAATAGAAGTAATAATTTGGTAATCACTACTATAATTATACATGTATCTAAATTATATTTTTATGACTGGAATGTCTTGAAATTATCAATTTTTATATCAATATGGGTCTGATTCATATTAGAAAGAATAAAATGATGAAGAGTACCAGTACTTACACCATAAGCCCTTGAAATTAACTTAAAACCAACCTCTCAAACTTGAAAGGTCTTGAGACTTGAATTGCAGTAACTAGATAAAATAATTGTCATCTAGAAATTAAATATATTCTGAGAGCCTGGGGGGGAATGTGGTAGAGATTTCTTTTCTGGGGTCAGGGCGTGACCACAATGTTCTGAAATTAAATTGTGATGATTATTACACAACCTTGTCAGTAAACAAAAAAAACAGTGAATTTGTACTTTAAAATGTTGAATTTTTGGTATGTGAATTATATATCAATATAAAAATATATATCAATTTAACAAGTATATATGTATCAATTTTAAAAGTACATTAAATGTATCGATTTAAAAAGTATATAGTATATATAGTGACAATAATCTTACAGTGACACCTTTTCTTTTTATTAAATAGAGGTCTAAATGACTAACAATAAACTGCCCATATTGAAATGTATGATTTGGTAAGTTTTGACATGAAGCCCTTGGCAAATATCAAGATAATGAACATAACTATCACCCTTAAAAGTTTCCTCATGTGCCTTGGTAATTACCTCCTCTGGCATTTACTGATCTGCTTTTTGTTATTATAGATTAGCTGATACTTAAACAAATTTTACATAATTGGAATCATACAGTTTGTATGTGTTTTTGTTCGGCTCATTTCAGTCAGCTTAATTACTTTGAGATTTATTAATGTTGTGTGTATTAATAGCTCATCCCTTTTTTATTGTTGATAGTATTCCATTGTATGGATATCCTGTAGCTGATTTATCAATTCACCTGTTGGTGGGCATTTGGGTTGTTCCCAGTTCTTGACTTACAAATCAAGCTGCTATGAAAATTTATGTGCAAGTCTTTGTAAGATGTGGGGTTTAATTTCTCTCTGATTAATATGTAGGAGTAGAATGGCTAGTTCATATAGTAGATGTATGTTTAAGTTTTTATGTACCATAATTGCCAACGTGTTTTTCAAACTAGTTGTAGTGTTTTATATTCCTAGCAGTAGTACAAGAAAGTTCTAATTCCTTCACATTTTTGCCAACAGATTTTAGAGTTAGTCTTCTTAATTTTAGCCATTGTAATAGGTGTGTAGTTGTATCTTCTTTTGAGTTTGCAAAAACATGACTAGAACTAATAAAAGATTCTAACAGGATTTCAGGATATAAGATCAATACTGTACCATTAACAAACAATTGAAAACTGAAATTAAAAAATACCACTTATTATAACAAATACAAAATACATAGGGTTGAATTTGACAAAAGAAACATAAGACCTGTACACTGAAAACTAGAAAACATTGTTGAAAATAATTAAAGATTATCTAAATAAATAAATAAACCTTGTTTGTGAGTTGGAGGACTTAGTGTTTATTAATATGCTAATTCTCCTTAAATTGATCTATACAGATTCAAAGCAATTACTTTCCAAATTTCAGCAGGCTTTTATTTAGAAATTCACAAACTGATTTTTTAAAAAAGATTTTATTTATTTATTTTTAGAGAGAGAGGGGAAGGGAGACAGAAGGAAAGAGAGACATCGATGTATGGTTGCCTCTCACGTGCCCCCTACTGGGGACCTGGCCCACAACCCAGGCATGTGCCCTAACTGGGAATTGAACCAGCAACCTTTTGATTTGCTGGCTGGTATTCAATCCATTGAGCCACACCAGCCAGGGCCGACAAACTGATTTCTAAAATCATATGGAAATACAAAGGATCTAGAATAGCCAGAACTTTTAAAATAAAACAAAGTTGGAGTATTTACCCCACCTGATTCGAAGACTTATTACAAAAACAGCAATTAAGACAAAAACATAGATGAATCAATTGAACAGAATAGAGAGCAAAGAAATAGACCCAGATGTATATGAACAACTGATTTTTGATACATTTAGTGGAGAAAACAGGTATTTTCAACAGATAGTACTGGAACAATTGGATATCTATATGCAAAACAGTGAACTTTATTTGTACCTCACTTCATATAAAATTTTAAAATGAAAATAGATCATAGTCCTAAATGTAAAATCTCAAATATAAAATTAGAAGGAAACATAGGAGAACATTTTTGTGATTCTGAATCAGAAAATTATTTAGATATGTCACCCAAAGCACAATTCACATACACAAAAATGATAAATTAGGCTTTATAAACATTTAAAATTTCTGTTCTTTGAATGATATTGTTAGAAGACTGAAGATACAGCCATGGACAGGGAGAAAATTTTTGTAAAGTATATGTTTGGTAAAGGACTGTGTCTAGCATGTATTAAAAATTCTCCAACCTTGGTAGGAACACAAACAATTTAATTGAAAAATAGCCAGATTTGAAGAGATACTTCAC